TGATGAATCGCTCCTTTGCGAAGAAGCTGATGAACTTCGTTCAACAACACCAGCGAACATGGTGTAAACCGGATCGGACTCAATGGAGGAACGATGTCAAATTCTATTCGGTATCCGTGCTGTATGATGGATAACACCCACCAATCAGATGTGATGGACTCCCAAATGGGAAGTCGGCTTTCCAGCCAATCCCCAAATGAGAGGGGGAAAGGTCAGAGTGGGAGGAGAGGAATGGTTCAAACACGTCAATGGTGAAATTTGTCTGCATCAAATTGGCGACGGCCCTGCTGGAAGCGCTGCTGGAGTTGTTGTTTGCGGCGCTGTTGCCATTGTTGATACTGCTGCCTGGGCTGGTAGTGTTGTCGGTAGGATGGGTGGGGCCATGACCACTTATGTTGCTTCTGCGGCTGCATTTCCATATGACGAGCTGTCATCCTCGACTCATGTATGGACTTCAGCTTGTGGTCCGTTCTTGAGTTGCATAGGCCTGACCTGTCGAAAGGCATCTCTTCGATTCTCCTTTTCATCTCCTTTGGTAAGTTGCAGTTTCACAATCAAGCATGTCTCCGGAGCGAGATGACACTGACTAGGGCTCTCGAGTCGGTATTGACATGATGCCTTGTGGTGGAGAGTTGGTGGATAGCAACCTGCATTGCCTCTCTTATGAAGACCTTCGCGAGCTCCCCTTGATTGTCAGGAAGGGCAGAGATGATGTTATCAAGGCGCTGCATTATAAAGTATTGCTAGCGCACCAAGGTTGTTCATAATTTGAAATACGCAGGCCGAGCCCAGAGGCTGCATAGACTCGGCGTGCAAGTGAGTCGATCTTCCTCCCGTCCTTGTCGTGCGGTGCTGTGTGACCTCTAGCCTCTCTGCCCTGAGAGGACTCCACCACGACTGAGTTCAGTTTTGGGTGTCGAAGGAGAAAAGGAATGTCCTGTTCTCAAACCGGGTACATGGCATCGTACCTTCTAGATGTTGGCTGAGGATTGGCAAGCATGTCCCAGGGCTGGACCATCACCTGGTGCAGGGTTGTTATCAATGGCAAGGCGATGGTGGCAGACTGTTCACCCCTGACCACATCATAAAACTTGTCGGTGCTGGGACTGGGCTGCTGTTGCACCTCAATCTCCAGCGACCGAACAAGTAAGGACATCAGCTCCGCAAAGGAGATGTGGGGCTCCTCAGGTGATCCTGGGCCCTAAGAAGTAACAGCGATGTCAGGGGATGTAGAATCCGCTTCGGGCTTGTCCGAGTCGACAAGGTAATGCCCTGGGTCACTAGATGAGGAACCTCTTGGCGACAAGGATCGGCTCTGGCCCCTCGGCTCTCTTACGGGTGCGTCCCTCGGAATCGATGAGGATGGACGATTCTGGGCTGGATAATATCCAAAGGAGTAATAATCACCCCATCCCGAATAGTATGGGAAATGAGGGTCCCAGTTGTCAGAGCAGCGGTCAGCAGAACGGCTCCGCTCTCTTGGAGGAGACATGGCAGTCTTGGTGTCAGGTCCGGTTAGGTATAGGCAACCTAGCCCTCGGGGGAGAATCGTGAATCTCTCCATCCGAGATGGATTCACAAGGTGGAGCCTCAGGATGTTGAGGGGATTCGCTCTCTGCCCGGACTACACGCTGAAGGGAACCCGAAGGGGTAACCCGCATGGCGGCCTGAAGCATCGGACTCGTTGGGGTCAGTACCGAGATGACAATTGGGACCGAGGGTGCCAATGAACCAGATTCATGGGGCTTGTCATGCTTAGGCTTCTTAGCCTTTTGAGCCGGTTTATCCCTCCTAGCCTTCTTGTGACCAGAAGGTTTCTCGGAGTCGGTGTGCTTGTGCTTCTCCCGCTGTTTCTTGGGAGGCGAAGCAGGCTGTTAAGCCACACAAGTCGTGCCCTCATCTGAATGGCGCGAAGGGGCCGCAGTTGAGGCAGAGGCAGAAGCAGGGCGTCGCGGCCTTAGGCACTGCGCAGGCGCAGCACCCATATGTGTGATGCACAGAGGCCATGACGAAGAACATATTATATATTCATATTCCACCCATAGGAGAAACTCTGTGACCAACAACTCCCAGTATCTTTTACCACTGGCTATGCTGGAAGACCACAACTTGTGCACCTATGTTATATGAATTATCTTTAATAACTCTAGCCACCCAATCAGCTGTTAACAGCCTGTAATTTAGGACTCCTTTTTTAAACATTGATTTTGCACCAGCCACTCTCCAATCTTCTGACATAGAGATCAATCTTAGGATCATCACCATTTTTTATGATTAGTAATTCCACATTTGAGTTAAGAACTCTCAGACTGGTACCATATGGACTATTTATTTTCTATTTGTCAATAAGCTCTTGAACTTTAGTTCTTGGTAATATTGTTTGTCTCATTTCCATAGATTCCCTTCCTGAAATAGCCAATTTCTGCAATAAAGACAGATACAAATTGTACATTTAGATTCCCTTTATATTCTTTTAGAACTTCTATATCCTACAAGCACTCCAACCCAGCCAGGTGCCTCCCAATCCTTTGGACTGCAACAATTAGCCATGCTGCCTGGGAATGGTGCTACTTATAGTCCAAGATATCCAGAGGGCATCAAATTGTTAAAGGCTGTCCTAAAAACTCAGGTAGGGTAACATTTTAAAACTTAAAGCGAGATAGACAAGGTATACAGTATATAGCAGTGCCCCCATATCTGCAGGCGATAGGTTCCAAGCCCCCCAGTGGATGCTTGAAAAAGTGGATAGCAGTGAATACTGCATTCGTGAAGGGTAGGGACACAGGACCCTTGCAAAAGTGAAAAAAACCAAATATCTCTAGAGAAAACCTATTAATATGTCTAGGTAAAAACTGAGTATATCTCTAGAATCTTCACACCCACTGAGAGGCAAAATAGGTAAGGCTGGCAAGTACTGAGACAAAGAGTGTGGTATCCCCAAACATACTGGATAGTTCCCAAGAGATATATTTGCAGTTTTTCCACTTTCATGGGGGTCTTGCACCCCTAACCCCCATGAATGTGGAGAGCCAATGGTCAACCTCAGTAAGTGAAACTGTGGTAACTGAGACCATGGAGATGGGGTCCTGCTGTATTTACAAGGACTGACTCTTCATAACTAAATCAAATCCAGCCAGAACTTTCCCGAAAAAACAAAAATGGAAAACTGAAGCTATCATACTTTGGACACATCCTGAGAAGGCAAGACTCACTGGAGAAGACAATAATGCTAAACTAACTAAATATGAGATGGCCCAATTTCATACAGGTAGCCACAGTCTTCAGTTTACAAGAACTAAGGAAGGAGACAGCAATTTGGAAGGCAGTCATTCACAGGATCACCATCAGCTGGGAAAAAAAACTTCATGGCATGTAACAACAATTGATTATAAGCAAGTAGTAATTAATTGCCCAAACAGGATCTTCAAAATATTTCCTTCTATACTAGTTGAAGCTTCCATTCATATTCAAGCAGATCCCACAAAGTACATTGCAGTATATCATAAAGCCATGTACGATGGCTACATCCAAATCTGAACAACTAAGTAGAACTAGTGGAGAGTGCTTGTAGCCACTGTCCTCACCTGAAGGTCCCAAATACAGAAAAGTGCTTATCATGAAGCACAGGGCTATGAGCTAAACAACCGCAAAGCCTGAACTCAGTCAAAAACCAGTTGGTTCTCTTCCTCCATAAAGAGGCCTTGCTAACAGCCATTATTTAAGTGTGCAACTATGTGACATTTGTACATCCATGAGTGGATCTCCTGTCATTTTTCTACAAGTTTAATATGGCTAAACAGGATTCCAAATATTGTTGAAAATGCCTGGGGGAAGAGGGGGAGCATTTAACTTTTTTCCTCTATGTCATGTTTCCAGTTGAAATCCCTTTTCCCCCAGTGCAAAATCTTATTTTCCCTGCAGGAGAAAACATGCAAGTCCTCTATCTGGTAATTGTTCTCCATCCTGGAAATGTTTTTCCAAAGCTCAAATAAAACCACAGCCTAGTAGTTACCATCATCAGGAAATTTGTCTCTATTCTTTTATCAGTGACATCATATTCTATGCAATTGTGCACTATCGTGTTTCTAGGGGGATTTAACAACACTCGAAAGTTAAGATGGTCCAATCCTATCTCACTGATCTCTGAGCTCATCTGTTTTTTGCATGCTTGCCTTGAGCAAGAGTACAGAATCAAGAAATGTGCAGATGTCAAAAACAACTCTGTGAATCATTACATGTTTTTTAACTATTGTAAGAGATACAGCAAATAAAATCCCAAATAGGATGAAATGGCAAATGAATTACATCTAGACTTCAATGAAACATTTTTATTTAAAAATGCTTCAATGGACTACAGCAAGACTCTATTGATTAGATAATAGTAAATGACTGGCAACAGAAATACAAATACAATCTGTTTTTAACATGTAAGAAAAATACAGTATGGCCATTAACTAAAGAAGCTATATGCATGTGCAAGCTACAGAATTCAAAGTCAACCTTTAGAAAATGATTTTACTGCAACAGCAATCATAGTTGAAGAATCAACTGAGGAGGAACGAGTAAGCAGCTTGCTATTAATTACCTTCAAGGTTATCATGTATTATCTGAATGCAGCCAAAATATGGGATGGATTTTTTACCCTTAGACTTTGAGACTAGGACTGCTAACCTAATACTTCGAAAGCATCATGATCATGATCACATGACTCTGGAGAATTTTTTTTAAGTTAGGGAAAGTGCCCCATAAATACGAATAAGTTTCTGTAGCATGACTGTAATCATTGTACTCTACAAGTATTGCAAACCAGATACATCCTTTGCTTGCACTGAAGAACCTGAGTGACACCAATCAGTACAGTCTTATTAACAAACTTTTCTAACTGCACCTCACTATTCTAGCCATAGGTCTTTAGTTAAACTAAAAACAACAAAATATATTTTAACCAAAATGTTTTTCATAGGAAATACACATGCCAAATTTCCACTTATGGTTCTTACCTGAAAAACTTTTATAATCAGAAATACACTGCTGCCTCCAAAAGCTAATTGCAGTCCTCTCTCGGTTCTGTAGTCTATTCAATCTCTCCGCTAGCCCTCCCCTACAAAGAATAAAGGATTATTTAATTATACCAATATTTAACTTTTCTTGAAAATATCACAAAACAAATATACTATATTTTCTGATCTATTTAGTGCTACAGAGACATGGCAAAATTACACCTACATAGGACATGATTATATCCCAGAACCTTGATTATTATAAGTGGTTTTCATATACATTTTCCAGTTTATTTCCAGAATAAAAAGCATACAAATTTTGAAAAGAGTAGAAGGGTCCCTTTGGATCAGAGCAACTTTTCAACTCCATAGAATAATATCAGCCACTTCCAGTTGAGTGTACTTTTAGCCACTGGCCTAAAATACAGTATATTACTGGAAGATGTGTGACCATGGCAAGGAGTGTGTCTGAAAATACTTCTCACACATACTTGACCTCATGATTCATTTCATAAGCTGGGTCAAGTGTGCACTTTCAGTGGTCTGAAAATTGTACATGGAGGAAATAGTTGAGTATTTGCAAGGGGAATATCATGCAAAGCAAATACACTGAGGGTAATATAGCAACTTATCTACAATTCAGCTACAAAATTGTCCTTGTTAAATATGAACAGCGTATTTTGCCTAAAGTTGGCTTTGAACTAACTTTTAATTATTGTAAGCCACCCCAAGGCTTATGCGAAGGGGGCGGCATATAAGCTGTCTAAATAAATAAATAAATGAAATTGCCAAATGTATGCACCATTTATTCTTAGGCTTCATTATGATTCCTGTCTATCTGTTAGGGGGGTGGCTGGGGATAACCTTAGCAAGGCCTTCCCTCCTAAATCCCAGGGTTATAGATCTCTTCTAATCAGACTTTCCAGTGTGCAAGCCTAGAAACTTTTATAAAACAGACGAGATACATTTGACTTTAGTGATGCTGAATTGAGCTGGATACCTGATATTTTACTACTGTGTGATATATTTCAAGATCACAAAAAAAGGGACAGTAGCTATGTTGGTCAAATAAATAATCCATATTCAGGTAATACTTCTTAGGTCAACTTAAATGCACCACTGTTTATTTTTCCAAGCAACCCTAGGACAGGTACAACCTAAAACTATCTCAGCTTCTAAAACTGCCTCATTTGAATATCTGCAGCCATCTCTCACTTTCCATCCTTCCAGGACTTTAAACAATTGCAGACTCCATGGTTTAAACATCAGTCACTTCTTTCCTCTTTTTGTTTCTTTGTTTAACATTTTGGTTGATGAAGAATTCTGGAGAACTCAAAAGCTTGCACAGTATTTTGTGACATTAGATTTGGCCTAGTAGAAGTCCACCATGATATGGATTTTGTATTTTAATGTTTACATTAGATACCCCTCAGTGTGGTGCCTCCAGATGTTTCTGACTTTAACTCCCAGCAGCCCCGAGTCAGCCAATAATCAGGGATGGGAGTTGCAGTCCAAAGTATCTGGAGAGCAGCCCATTTAAGAAGGCTGGATTGCTTTATTATGCTGTTGTATAAGCATTTTATTTTATTAACTACCTTAGTAATTTTCTTAAATCAGTCTATAAAAGTATGCATCTATGTTTTGTTTTTCCGTAACATAAGTACATCAGCCTAAGTCTTTCCCAACCTGCTCTCCTCTAGATGTGTCAGAGTGCAACTCTTATTGTTGCCAGCCAACATGGCCAATAGCTAGATATGATAAGTGCTGTAGTATAAAACATCTGGGAAACACCAGGTTGAGGAAGGGTGACACTTCAGCATTCAAAAAAGAAATCTTTCCTTCTCTCATCTGCACATTCTAAAATGTCTTGAAACTTTAACTTTGTTAAAAATGCTGATTTGTTTTACACACCCTCCCATTTTCCAAGATATTACACTTAAGCATTAAATATTGGCAGAATGAATGCTGCATTAAAAAAACTGATATAATTGTTTTCAAGTAAACAGCCCAAGTCAGAAGAAACAAGGAGGCAATAAAAGTAAGTGAGTTATTTGTCCTTTTGTAGTAATAAAAAGACCAAAGAGTCTGGAGTATTTTATAATCCTGTAGAACATCTTAACCAGTTATTTCCAGTCAAAAGCATTTTAAAACTTACAAAAGGAAGAAAATGTATACACACTATAGCAATTGCTCTGCTTCCTCGATATTTAGCACCCTTTCTTCTGTGTTCAGGAAGAAGTTACACGACCTTTCCTCTTGAAACATAAGCAAAGAAGCTAACTTTGAATAAATTTATTTATTTATTTTTATTTATTTTTCAATTTATAGCCTGCCTTTTTCCTACAAAGGGCTCAAGGCAGCTTACATCATTTCTCCTCCTCCATCTGATCCCCACAACAACAACCCTGTGAGGTAGGTTGGGCTGAGAGTCTGTGACTGGCCCAAAGTCACCCAGTTGGCTCCATGACTGAGTGGGGACTCGAACCCAGATCTCCTGAGTCCCAGTCGCATGCTCTTAACCACTACACCACACTGGCTCTCTGCAGGATTAAGTGTATCGTCTAGCACAGTTTTCCCACCTGGTTCCCTCCAAAGATATTGTAAAATAACTCCCAGCATCCCACAGTCAGCATAGTCAGATGAAGAAAGCAACACTGGGGAAAACTAGACTAGCACAACTGACATTCAATGCTGTATTCAGCCCTTTGCATCATTTTCCTAAAGTTTCCAGTGAAGAATAACTTTACAAAATACATATAAGACTCAAAATCTAATTTGTAATTTCAACAGTAATTTGAGAAACATTAAATTTAGATTAAAGTTCATTCTTGTAAACAGTATACTAAGTATACACAGTAAGTGTGTTCCAGGTTCTTCTTAGGTACTAGACTCCTAATGTCACAATATACCACAATATAAGCAACTTGCAATCCAACAACAGGCTACAACCCCCATCATCCCTACCCAAAATAGCCAGAGGTAAGGTATAACATGAGTTGCGGACCCTTGCACTAAAACCAATCAGCCAACTATTCTGCATGGCTAGTTATCTGCACTACAGATAAGTGTAACAGCCGTTCATGAATAACACATGAGCTCAGGCTGCTGATTCTTGCACATAGGAAAAGCATTCCATTTTTCAATATACCATTTCCTTATGGGCAAGCTATCAAAAATGACTGTGCACAAGTGTATGCACACACACATTTTTCCTTCCTCATAAAATGAGAAAGGGAGCAGACAGACTAGAATGTGGAACGCAAAACAGAACAGAGACCAAACTGAGCAATTGTAGACAAGAATGGATACCAAAAATGAAAACAGTGATAATATGTCAAATAGCTCATCTGTTTAAATGTACTTATCACCTATGTTTAATAATCTTTAATTACACATTGAAATGCAATAGTGGTTGAGACTAACTACGGTGGATAAGGTATTGGTTTTCACTTATTCATATAATGATATTTTACAGGGTTGATTTGATTTAAATCAAATTGATTTAAATCATGGTTTTCTACATAATTTGCATGCATGTTTGCCTTACAAATAAGTAGAGAAACTTCATTAAAATACTCCCAAACTGGGTCTCTTTTACAGCCTGCTGCCATTATAGGTTTTTTCCTCCAGGAAAAGAATAGCATAACAAACCTCAGGCTATACACAAAAGATCCAAAGACTTATGGAGTATTGTGCTCAAAAGATTTCACCTTCGTTTTTACTGTTTGCCCCTCCCTCCTCACACTTAGCCTCTTGTGTAGATCTATTCCAATCCCAACAATGTTCTATTCATTGAATTTTTTGAAACTTTAGCACTTAAGAGGTAATGGGCTGCTTCTACATACATGGATTTGCAAAGGAACAATGGGATTAAGGTCTTTTTCTCAATTCTTATTTTATAACATTTTTGCTGTGAAGAAGCGGCATGTTCTTGAGAACTGTTCTTGAGAAGACTCAATTCAGTCTTGAGAACTGTTAAACCAAGCCTCTGTGATAGTATCTTCTAGAAAGAAAAGTTGCCCAATAATCTTACAAAAACCTTTGGAAGACATTGTGAATGAATTAATTGAATTCACTTACCAAAAAATTAAACATTACATGAATAAATAGCCCCATGCTACATAATTAAAAACTAACATTTATTTCATGGTGAATAACCTTTGGACTTAATGTATCTTAAACAGAAAAATATCTTTAGATAGATTTTTCCTCAAAAGCATTTAATATTAAAAATATCCAATTTAAATTTAAAAAATCAACTTAGTCCATACATAATTTGGACTATACAATCTATAAAATCTACATTAAGGATATGTGGGATCTAACAGTTTTAAAATGTTTTAAAGGGGCCTTTAAAATGCATATAGTGTAATTATAACGACTGATAGGCAATGTGATACGCATTCTCCAGTGCTCCAAACAAGCCAAATGGTACCCAGTAGGGCATTCAGTTTAAAACATTGTATATCAATTTATTGTGGGAGTCCCGCTAAAAACTGAACCAGGACCAATCAGAAACAAGAAACTATAATCCACAGTCAGTCAGGTTTCATTAATATACATCATGATTTGTCTGATCTCATCCTTTACACTGATATCAGGTTTTTGCTGATCAGTAAATATTGCCCCCTTAATCTTTCTCCTTTGAAGGCTTTGTTCAATTGTTAGCACAGAGATCTTCACTGCAGCCACTGAGCTAACATGTTTCTTCATCACTTGAGGAGACCAAGGTCTGGCACATTTTTCATTATATTTTATATCAGCGAAATGCTCCTTAGAGCTTTTTAGGATAGGTCTTCCTGTCCTACCAAGGTGAAAGAAACTGCATTCAAAACACTCAATTTTATTCAACAGCACTCTTAGTTTTACACTCCCCTCTACTTTCCACACAGATAAGGCACTCCTGTATCCAGCATTTGTTTCAACAGTCTACAAAATATTTCTTTAGATTTATCAGACTACTAAAGGCAAAATTAGCCTTAATATTACAGATCTTTTGGGATTCCCATGCAAATTTGTCATTCGCAAATGGAATTTTCAAAACAAATTTTATTTGCCTTATACGTAACATTGATTTTGCCAAGGTCGAAGAAACACTAGTTATTATTAATAGCACATTACATCTAAAAGATCAGATACATACCTTAACCATTTTCTTTTCTTTGCAGAATCTTCTGGACTCCTCAGACTCTTGTATGCCTTTTTCCTAGGTGTTTGCAAGAGAGTCTGAGCAGATTTTAACCAATCACTTACTAATTTTCCTGCATCTGTTTCATTCCTTGCTCCCAAACTGAACTGAAACTTCTTAGAAAATTTTAAGTTACCAGCTTCTGTTTTTACTGGGCATTCTTCCAGATTTTCACTGTCTGATGAATATTCTGAAATGTGTATAGGGATCGCCTGCATAGAAGAAAACATTTAAATGTATATTTAAATACAAAGTTGACTCAGTACTAATCAGCAAAAACATAACATAAATTGTCATAAAATTCTAACAAGCAGGATTAGCAATACACAGCAATACATTGTCAATACATATGTATTATTATTTATTTATTAAAAGCTTTTCTACCCCATCTGCCACTAGTGTCTCAGGACAGCTTACAATAAATTTTCTACATATAGAAAATTAAGTCTGCAAATGACTAAAGAGATTGTGCAAAGTGGAAATACTATTACCCATTTTTCTGATTTTAAAAAATTACAGTGTTCAAGGTAATTCATATAATTCTAAACTAAGCACTAACAAACCATCAGTAGTATCAAAAATCAAGTCTTAACATTGACCTCCTAGCCTAGTAGAATGGTTCTCCAAGGTTTTCCACATATAAGACTTTTTCAACACCGTGAGTGCCAGATAGTGAACCTTAGACATTCTTAGACAAAGTATTTGTTCTACAGCTAAGCTACAATTCTTCTCCTGTCAAAAGTTTGAGGCAGCAGATAAATCAAAAACTGAACGGAAAACAAAGATATAATCATTGGCAACACACCTGGTTCACACATAACACCAATTCAGGGTTAAACAAGCCTTGAATTGACAGGATGTGCAGGAGGGCTCAAGGGCTCAGCCTCCCTAAACAACACTTCACTTGCCACTCCACTCCACCGGGAACCTGACACTGATAAGTACTGTTGAAAAAGCATTTTGTACCAAAAAACAAAAACAAAAAACCACCACTTCCAAAGGGCTGTTAAAAGCGGCTACAAGGACTGTTCATCATAGTAATACAGTCTAGATGTAACTCAGGAATGAGTTTCTGTAGCAAGGTCTATCATCTCTAGAAACAGGAACAAATGACAACCTAAGCTGAACTGAAGCCACCATGAGGCAACCAGGAGCACTCCTAAACAGTGGAAATCTGGAGTTTTGATGGGAGTGTAAACCCATCAAGAACAGAACTGGGTTGATTGCCTTTCTGACCAAGAATACTCTGGTCTTGTCCAGAATAAGATTAAGCTTGTTTGCTCACATCCAGCCCAGCCCAAATTGTATGCAAATTATGCCATATGAATGTATTTCATAATCAGTGCAAATAAACAGGAATTTCAAAATAGGACTACACATCACATACACATCATATAGGCCCCCAAGTTAATGATCCAAGCCACCACTGCAACAGCATTTCATTATCTATGAACGCAGTGATAATGCGTTGTTAAGTGGTTGAAAAGCCACTCAGAACCCTGGGCTATTTTTAGGGCTGTGGATGGCTTGTCCATCCAACCCATTTGCACATAATGAGAAACTACAGCATGGTCCCTGCTGCACAGTGAACATTCCAAATGGCAGCCAACGCCCATGATAAGGAGCCTCAGGGGAAAATTCATCCAGGATGGCTTCTCATTTTGTGTGAACCAAGCCAGAGTCCGAGATTGCACATCTTGACAAGACACTGGCCTAGTGTCTAAGATAGTAAATTGGGGCTCTGTCCCTTTAAGATATCCCAAGCTAGCAACTGAGTGTAGGGCTAGAGGTGATAACATTCCAGGTCAAGCAGGGATTCCTTGTGACTACCTGTTCCTGCCATCACTGACCTGAATGAAGTATGCACCTAGGTTTGAGGTAATTCTACAGGCCTGCAGCCTTGATCCTTAACCACATACAGTGTCTCTGTCTATTACTAATGGAAAGTATTGGTCTATTATCTAAACATACATCCCACCTTCTTTTCCATATTTTATTACTATAAATAATTGAAAGTATGACATTAAACCAGTAGAACATTCATAATAAGTATTTGCCTCATAACGTTAAAGAATCTCAAAATATGCCTTCAAGGCTTAAAAGGTGTATTTATTAAGGTATTAAATGCATTATATGAGTAACAAATTTATGTATTGTTTATCTTCCATCTAATGAAAATTCTGCACATTCAGCAAGGACCTCACAAGAGAGAGAATGGAAATATGAGGGCCGAACTTCACATTATACACATGAGTAATGGTAAGCAAATAGGCTTTTCCTTGCATTAAAACGAGAAAGGGACAATAAGGAGGAGAGTAGTAGATAGGGAAAAGGAGCATATCCTTTCACCTTTCTAAATCGTCTCGCCCCCAAGCAACTTTATGGTTTCATGTACATTTGTATTCAAATTCTCCCAAGAGACTTCTCATGCAAAAGGGGCTACTAGATCCACAGGTAGCACGCAGTTTGGCCCACTGTCTTCAATACTTTAAACAAGAACATAGCTATTAAAAAAAAACTTGCAGCCACCCACTTGGAATAAATGTAAGTGTTCCAATAAGAATATAAAACTCCCACATTCATTCCAGTGGTAGGCAAAGATCTCTACATGCACACTTGATCTGAGCATACATGCAACTTCACTGAGGTATTAGTCAGTATCCTTGGGTTTGGAGATTGTCCACTGTATGAAAACATGCCCCTCCTATGTTTCTTTAATTACAGGTACCTTCTATCTCAGGGGTTCCCAACATGGGGTACCCACACCACCAAGGGGTACAAGATGGCATTTCAGGGGGTGCAACAAAAAGAAAGACTGTGTCACAATTTGCCAAAATTGGCAAATCATGACTTCTTCACCAGAAATTATCCCAATAATAAAGGTATTTATTATTATTTTTTTGCATTTGGATTCAGTTCTCTTTTGTCAATCACAACAAAATCTAGGAATCATCTGAATGCACAGGTAGACCTGCAAGAAAATTCAGCAAGAAGATTCCACATTTTGACAAAAACATGAATGAGAAGCAGGAACAAAGAAATAATTGAATTTTATGTTCACAATTGGGATTCATTTTACTGTTTACATTTTTTCTAACTGCTCAATTTATATTCAAATTTTATGCACATAGTTAAAAGCTTATTTTTTAGTTCAATTTGTTCACCCACACTATTGTATGTGGTTCAATTTGTGGTTCCAAAATTAAAAGTATGAATTCTTCATCTTCAAATGTGATACTACTTTTGTAGGGAGTGTAAAATGCAACAAACATTCTCTAGAGGTGCAGGACATAGAAAAGGTTGGGAACCACTGTTCTATCCTACCACCTTGCTATCCTGTTAACAAAAAAAAACAAACAAACCAGTGATGAATTACATTTCCAAATTTAAGGACCTCACATTTAAATAAAGCATTGGAAGTTGAGAACATATGTAAATAAGCACAGACCTTTAATGGTGTTTACAACCTAAAGCATTCCCTCCAACCCTGCTCCTTGTTACTTGCTTTAAATTTTTAAGATAACAATTCAGCATGAGTACAACCAGAAACTAAAGCTTAGTTTGCTTCATTTATCCTTAATAAATGAACCGCATTTTCCATCATGCAGAATTAGGAGGATTTGGTTCAGTACACCATCACTGTTTTAAGCATAAATCAGCAGCAAAAGAAAGTCTCCTGCGCTGTTTTTGTCTATCACTTTCTTTAGCAATGACCCATCAAGCCGCATTATCTGTAAAATACTATCAGTGTAAGCCAAATATACTTACAAAGGAATTCCATTTGTTCTGAAATACACATCTAGAAGGGTGAAGTACACCTTATCCAACATATATACGCATACATAAGAATATGTTTGCACCTACTTAGGTTTCCACATTGCACACATCACCATGAGTTAATCTTGTATTTCAACACACTGAGCCAAATTTAAAACTGTTCAGTTTTTCACATTTCCTTGTAAGTCACCTTGAACCAATACTAAGTTCTAAGTGAACTTGGAGTGACATCTTTGACACATGAAAACATAGGAAGTGGGCATGATTTTGTGATTAAACTCATTTGTCTTTCCAATATGTTCCACTTTCTGTCTAAATATTCTAGAGTCTTGTTATGCTTAACAGCAAGGAGGCAGTTGAATGAATCCTCAAAATGGAGAAAGTAATAGCAACTTATGACACAGTCTCTTAAAGTTCTAAAGAAGGCAAAAATGGTATAATATTTTAATACCTATTAAATAGCAATCTAAGTATAATACCACATTCTACAGTTTCTTTCCAGATTCACCCTACTGAACCCCCCTTTTGGACATCTATCTATCTAACCCAGCTTATACTTATAGCAGTTTCAAGCCTCTGCAAGGATAATGGATCCTTAAGAATCATCAGTTAATTTGCTAGAAATCTCTTGCGAATTCTCCTTTAATATGTCTAACAGGCCTGCTGATGCCCTAGTTGATCTATGGAACACAGAGATGCTCTGAGCTATTGAGACAATTCTTTTTAAGGTGCTTTCTTCTATTATGTAGAGCAGGATAAGCAGACCTATTGGTAGATCTCTAGATGACTTGCAGATCAGCAATGAGTTCCAGCACTACAATAACTTTCACAGATAAAATTATACTGCTGGAAGCTTGGGATGGTGGGATTTTTGTATGGAAGAATTTTGAGTTCAGTTCTATGCTCAAAACAAATTCTTGAGCTATGAATTCTTTCAATTTAAGTGGGTGACTTTCATACCTGACACCTGTTAGTAGAACCTGGAGATCTATGATAAAGCAAGTTTCTACAAGACTGATACTTTGCCTACCATAGTTGCAGAGTCATGCTGTCTCTATGATACATCTAGGAGTTGGGGGCAATAATAGGGCAGCTAGCACCTAAATGATAGAAAATCTCAGATAAACCTGACCCAGAATTAGTGTGAGTTCATCTAAAGCAGGGGTCCTCAAACTTTTCCACCGGGGGCCAGGTGAAAGCTGTCGGTGCTGGCAGCGGGCCAAAAAGTTGGTGCCGGCAGTACGCACAGGCCGGCATGTGCGAGCACATGTGCTGGGGCGGGGCACGCAGCAAGGGGAGGTGGGGCATGGGCGGGCATGCACTGCGAGGCGGGCGCACAAGGCAGCAGCTTGCTCACTTGGAAATCATCTTCTCCGAACAAGCAAACTGCTGCCTCTCTGTGAGCGAGGCAAAGTGAGTGGTGGTGGGTGCACAC